TTGACATCCCTGATCTAGATGGTCATTATAGGGGCATAATTACTAATAAATTGCAACATGATTGTTAATCACTATAGTATTAGAAAGTGCTCTTCTGAATCACATATTTCCAGTTCCACTACAAATGTTGTAAATTTGTTAAACCTAGTATATACCAGAAGATTTTGAATTCCTACAAAAATATAGTTTGGCAATCCATCTAGGTAGAAAAAAAATTTGACTTGGGAGAGAAACAAATTCATAAACTTAGGTTACCACATACCATCCAGAGGTCTAGACCAGGGGTAGGCAACCTTGGCTCTTTTATGACTCGTGGACTTTAATTCCCAGAATTCCTGAGCCAGCCATCCTGGCTCAGGAATTCTGGAGGTTGAAGTCTATGATCATAAAAGAGCCAAGGTTGCCTACCCCTGGTCTAGACAATACATTCTGGGACCCTGAAAGGCATAATCCTGCACCCAATTGCCAATGAATAACCCATTGAACTAAATATGTTGCTTCTGAATAGGTAAGGTAGTTTCATTCAAGCTAAGTTCTGTTGCTAATGATTTCATGGACACATTCATGTAGTTTTCATGACAGTAACATGTAAATGCCTCTTGTTACTGTTCCAGACTACCCCACACAACCTCACTTCCTAAAGTAGCCCATAATCCTGATCTTTATTGGTGATGTCTCAACCAAAATTCTATAAGTGTTAGTATACGCAATAGTGCTTATGCCAGATAAGTTATTTGTTAATTATGTTGAGAAGTATTTTCAACTAATACTATTTTTAGTAAAACGCCTATAGACCTCTAGGTAGTTGCCAATCATTATCAAGCCAAATATTAACTATACCAAAAGTTTAGTTTTATAGAGATTTAGCTCCTGCAAAAAAAAAAAAAAAAAGATGTCCCATTTTAATTCTATCATCCTACGCAGGCAAAAGACTGTAGAAGCTCTGTTGTTTGTGTCTTGTGACACAGATAAGCAATCTGAGTTTCATTAGTAAACCTTTTTTAATTTGAGAAAGGGAGAAATGAGTAAGCAGGAACTATTTATAAAAAAGTCTTCATGAAAATAAACAAAACCCTTTAAAAGCAAATTATTTTGCCTAGCCATTAAATTTCTAATAAATTAAGAGAGGATTCATTAGATAATGTTAACATAAACAAATGTAATGAAGTTTTAGCACTTAAATTTTTTGATTCAGTAAAAATGACTCTATGCAATTTTGTAAGAAAAACAATATAGTTCATTCTGATATTAATTCATTAAACTATTACACAAAGCACAATAGGAGAGATTTAAGATAAACAAAACATGATGTGTAATCCAAAATATATTATTACTTTAACAAGTTTGACAATATGATTGTCATAACAGGAAACATACATTCCTAGTTTTTCAAGAATATGAATATTTTAATTCACTGGACTTGCATCAAATTTGCTGAATCATTTTCTTGAAGACTTTTTTCATGTATTTTTAACAGAAGCGAATTCATATTTTACTGCGATGGGATACATTTTTTTTTGCTTGAGAATTTAAGAGCAGTTATCAAATTAAGGTAAAGATTCCCTCATGGCAAATTTGATTCTTGGTGATTATATGGTCACTTCCATGCTGTTTGCCATACTTCAATAGTGCATCAATTACTTAGTGTGAATTTTATTTTATAATATACTGTCATTTGTGTTAATGATCTTTAAAGGAAGGTGGGTTGCAATTAGAAAAAAATAAGGTAGACTAGGAAAGGCTGTATCACACAGTAGTGCAGTGTCAAAAAAAATTGTGTTTAGAGGAAGATGTTGAGGTTTTGTGTTTTTCGTGCTGATTTATGGCTTGCCCTGTAATTTTTGTATGCTGTCTATTTCAGAACAATTAGAGAAGACTCAGAATATTGCTAAGCGTGGGCCAATCTTATGTGTGGTCCCTAAGATATAGGTTGTTCAGTTCTACTATTCACTGATTTTTTTTTAACATCAGTGCACAAAAGATAAGAGGGTAACATCCTTATTCTACTTGAAAATGTTTATGGGTACCAGGCATGATGTTTGCATGCAGCCTTGATGTAGATCAGGAGTTCTCAACCTTGGCAACTTTAAGACTTGTGGACTTCAACTCCCTGCTGGCTGAGGAATTCTGGGAGTCAAAGTCCACAAGTCTTAAAGTTGCCAAGGTTGAGAACCCCTGACGTAGATCAAGCTAAGAGTGTACACCTTATAGCAATACTTCCTCAAAAAATATAAATTGTGATTTTGTATGTCAAATAAGAGGTAAATTCTTATAAAATACATAAGTAATAATACTAAGTACACTGACTTAATTTAATTTTGCATGTAGATGTTTTCCCACATAACAAGCTGGCGAAATGTCACTTGAAACATCTATATAAGTAAGCGACAATTTTCTTTTTAGAAACAATTTCATTGTTTTCAGATTTGGTTCTCTTAAGAATGGCAAATGGCATTTTGAATCACTTACTAAAGCAGTGGTTCTCAAGGGCAGGCAACCTTGAATGGGGTCGAACGACCATTTCACGGGGGTCGCCAAACAACGCAGTCCGCCATTTTTCCCCCCTTTTCCTTAGCTGTGCTACTCCCTTTTATTCTATTGGCTTTTGAAAGCCAATAGAATAGACTCTCTTGAATAGAGTCTAATTCTATTGGCTTTCAAAAGCCAATAGGAATTGTCCAGGCTGTCTCTGCCCTGCTGAGCCCGCCAAATGTCCCATTCTGCAAATGGTGCTGCACCAGTTGAGTAGTCCTCGACTTACGACCGGTTGAGTAGTCCTCGACTTATGACTGGTTGGGGGGTCGCGGCATTAAAAAGGTTGAGAACCACTGTACTAAGGTCTTGGATAGAGAAAAAGTCTAAAGTAATATTTATTAAATGAAAATGTGATTAGATGGGGTACAGAGTATGCTTATCTTCAATTGTCCCCTCTGAGCCTCCCCTCGGAAGAAGGTGAGTGGCCACACCAAAGATAAACTTTATTATTTGCATTTCATTCATTAATCAATTGCTAGTCCAGGGGCAGGCAACCTTGGCTCTTTTATGACTCGTGGCTGGCATAGCTGGCTCAGAATTCTGGGAGTTGAAGTCCACGAGTCATAAAAGAGCCAAGGTTGCCTACCCCTCTGCTAGTCCATTGCTCAGACATCTATTTTTATAGGGAACTTACAACATAATGAATGGTGTAAGGTCTCCTGCTTGAGCTAGGTGTTGGACTAGAACAGGGGTGTCAAACTCAATTTCATTAAGGACCACATCAGCATTGCGGTTGTCCTCGGGGCCAGGTGGGGGTGGCCAGGGTGGGGGTGACCTACTGGGTGAGCGTGGATGGAGTGGGTGTGGTCTACTGGGTGGGTGTGGCCAGCTCTACATCCTTCGCGTCAAGGGTGCCTGTGGGGGCCTGGGCAGGAGTGGGACAGATCTGAGGGTCCTGGCAGAAGGGGGTGGGACCAGGGGAAGTGCCAACTCCCTTACTGTTCCTCTCAGGCCATGCGGGGGGGGGGGCTTATGGAGCTAAGGCTGAATGTGTTTCAGCATAGATGGCCACCACAAAATTGCACATTGGCTCCCGGCCGACCTGGGCCAGGGCCAAGGCAGTGGGGGCCGTTCCCTCACTGTTTCCAGGATGGCTTCGCGGGCCGCATGAAACTACTTTGTGGGCCGCATCCGGCCCCCGGGCCTTGTGTTTGACATGTCTGGACTAGAAGATCCCCAAGCTCCCTTCCTACCTTGTTATTCTGTGTTCTATGTTCTAAATGTTTGCTTGGTTGGCTTAAAATTTTAAGGCACTGCCTCTTTTCACGACAAATCAAAAAAGGTCATCTTAACATTGCCGTTTTTAATAAAAAATAATAAAACTATAGGACTGTGAATTTTTAAAGTGACCAAGCCATTTAAAAAACTAACTATGTACCAAAAAGGAATGGAAAAAGGAAATATGGGGAGAGAGGAGGGCCTTCCCTAGTGCAGAACAAAAATATAAAGTCATTGGTGAACACTTAGCCTATGAAAGTTTGTGATCTGTTTATTTATACTCATGCTGGAAACTTTTTTCCCTTTATGGGATGAAGAATGAGCAAGTTGAGAGACAGGGATTTTGCAAGCAAAGAGTTTCTGTGACGTATTGAACTATGATTGCAGGAAATATTCCAAAGCTTGGTAGACTTTGGACAGAAGTATGTGCAGACTCAAAAACAGAAATGGAAAGGTAATATTTATTAAATGAAAATACTGCTGTCGGTGCTTACAGACTTTCATTGTGTGTCTAGGCTGGGAAATGGGGCCGAGGGGGCGAGGAGCAGCTCATACTGCACTGTCTAGGCATAAGTGCTCTTTTTGACAGCGCACTGTAGATTGATTGTGGTTTAATTTAAAATGCTTTGCTGAAACGTATCTCCTGTGACGGCAGGAAGCTATCCTGTCCTGACATTTGAGCTGGCAGTTTCTGTTTCAGCAGAGATATTTTAGAATGTCTTGTAAATTGTGTACATGCTATAAGAATATGAAAGAAGTAGCATGAACAATCATACATGAAAGTGTTCCTAAATGGGAATCAGTGTTCTTTTGTATTGTTTTGCTTTTATATTTGAGTACATCGAGTTAAATCTCTGCTGGCTGTTTTACCATTTATAAATTCAGGAATGATGTGTGTGTGTGTGTGTGTGTGTGTGTGTGTGTTAATATAGTTTGCCACAGAACACAGGGCCATCTCACCTTTCATTATAGAACAATATAGAACTATCAGATACTAATTATAAGCAGTGATATTTTTAAATGGTTATATGCAAACCCATCTCAAATGCATGCATTTACTTTGTATCTTATAATTAGATGACACAATCTTAACATGAAACGTGAGTCTACGCTAAAAACTGATTGAAGACATGTAGTGCATTCCCCAAGAGAGTATGATATACTGCTTCTGGTATTTGAACAGCATCTCTATATTTTTAACTTCTGGTAAGATTTTAAATTTTACATTGCTTTTTTTTTTCTTTTAGAAAATGAAGAAAATGCCATAAATGGGGAGGATGACAAAATTCAGAAAGATCCCTATTTTGTGGAAACACCTTACGGCTACCAGCTTGATCTGGACTTTCTCAAGTATGTGGAAGATATACAGAAGGGAAATACTATTAAAAAATTGAACATTCAGAAGAAGCGGAAAGTGACACCACCTTTTGCTACTGTCAAAATCGCTTCCAATCAGTACGGTGGATGGACATCAAATGAATCTCTTTCTTCATCCAACAGTGATGAAAACAAACATTCATCTTTACTTTTTACAGCCCAAAGCCAATTAGCAGGGACAACTTCTGCAAGGCCATCCTTGGCATTTGAAGCCTCTCCAAGCTTCCTAACTATCCCTGAAAGCAAACCATTACTTCCTCCTTCGCCACAGCTGCCTAGACACAACCTTCGAGTTACAAAAACTCTCATGGAAACACGTAGGAGATTGGAGCAGGAGAAAATGGCAATGCAACCCATCCCTGGAGAAACTCGGAGGCCTAGGCTTTCCAGTTTTGGAGCCACGGGCTCAACCGGCTCGCTTCCTTCTTTTGTAGGATCCAGCAGCCAGAATCAGATGTGCCAGCAATTTCAGAATGGCTATCAAGGCAATGGAGATTGTAATCTTTATCTGGCCTCCTCTTTGGGCAGTTCTATTCGGCATAGCCCCTTGAGTTCAGGAGTATCAACACCTGTGACTAATGTGAGCCCGGTGCACCTACAACACATCAGGGAACAAATGGCCATTGCCCTCAAACATCTCAAGGAACTGGAGGAACAAGTCAAAACCATCCCTGTACTCCAGGTTAAGATCTCGGTACTTCAGGAGGAGAAAAGACAGCTGGTGGCAAAGCTCAAAAGCCAAAGAATGGTCAGTCAGAATGACACAGGCACCTTCAGAAAGCGATCTTACAGTGCAGGAAATGCAGAGCAGTGGAAGCAGCTCTCGTCAGTCAGAGGAGGAGGAGGGGAGCTTTACATAGACTGTGAAGAAGATGTGGGGAATGTAGGGCATAGCACAGAGCAGGTAGAAGAGTTCAGGCAGTTGACCGCCGAAGTGCAAGCCCTGGAGAAAAAGATCCAGGACAGCAATTACGATATTCCCTCTGTGCGAGGCAATCGAGCAAACATAGCAAAAGAGAACAGGTCAATTGCTGTTGGTGCAGATGAAAGTATGAATGATATTGTGGTATATAACAGAGCTTTGAGGGCATGCAGGGATGTAGCGGTGGGCACAGATCTGAAGACTAAAGATTTTATTGCTGGGGTATCAGAAGAAATGCTTGGCCTGTCTACTGAAGCTGAGAGAGAGATAGAACTTCAGCATCAGATGATTGAATCCCTTAAAGAGAAAATCTACCGGCTGGAGGTTCAGTTGAGGGAAGCTACTTACGACAGGGAGATGATCAAATTAAAGCATGAGCTTCAGGCAGCTGGATCTAGGAAAAAATCAGACAAGGCATTAATGGCACAGCCCCTTGTCTTCAACAAAGCGGTAGGCACAGTAACGCAAACGAGAGACCAAATGGTGGGAAATCACGTGGATAGTGTTGATTCATGTGTAGGGAACAGTCCCCAGATGAGTAGCATTGGTGTATTGTGTAGGCCTATGTTGCAGAGTTCAGCTGTGGGACCAGATGTCCCCATGAATTGGTGGATTGTGAAAGAGAGGAATGAAATGTGTGATCGTTGCATTGGGAATTATGTTGAGACCCACAATAAATGTGTGGGCACAGAAATTAGCTTCTGCGAAGCCGGGGTCAATACAGAGGAATTAGTGGACAGCCTAAGCCTGCATAAGACAGAACTACAAATCAAGGAAGTATGGTCACCTGGTGGTAGAGACTATTTGGATCTGACATTCTGTCCACCTAAAAAGACCACATCTTGCAGCACAAACACAGAGACTGCTTGCAGAGCCAATTCTGGAATCATGGCAGTGCCTTGTACAATTAACCAAGGAACCAATACAGTATTAGAAAAGGCTGATGGATTCACCAACACAGAAATGACTACTTTGACAGATTCCAGCACCAATACTTTATTGAGCACTTCCGATAAGCAGACAAACACTGTGGCTGTGGAGCTGAAGACGGTGGCTGTCGGAGATGGTAGGGTCAAGGATGTAAATACTGCTGCTAAAACTCGTTCCATTGGTATAGGAACTTTGCTTTCTACCACTGCTAGCTTTGATAAATCTTCTCTAACAAAGACCAAAGACTGTGGAGTAGGGCAGATCAGTATTCATGAGAACTATCTAGTTGGATTAAAAATGAGACACATTGCCTGTGGTCCACCACCAGTTTCTCTTGCGCCACCCAGCACAAGAAGCATTGGTGTTGGGGATGATGCTGTGGATGATTCAGGGAACCCCGACACCGATAGTGCATTTCCTCTGCCCGAAATAAGGACTGGCCTGGACCATTACATTGAACGTGTTCAAAAGCTTGTTCAAGAACAGCAGATGCTCCTTGCTGAAAATTATGCTGAACTAGCAGACGCTTTTGGAGAACCTCACTCACAAATAGGTTCTCTCAATTCTCAGCTCATCAGCACTCTATCATCTATCAACACAGTCATGAAATATGCAAGTACAGAGGAACTGCGCAGCTTAGAGACACCAAAACAATGCATGGACAAACCTACTACTACAGGTAGGCAGAGTTTATTGAATCTAAGCTGTTGTAGAGCAATCTGCCTTAAGCTGCAGCTTCTGAATGTATGGGGCTTTGCAGCTCCTTAGTATAGTGTCTGAGAATTAGGAAAGTCACTGTTTGATTCTTCAGAAGATCATTAAATATCTTTACTTCTCTCTCAAGAGAACAAGAAGGAGTTTTATAGCCCTTTTCCAGCTAATCTTTTTTTTTTTTACAGGCATAAAATATTGTGAGCTACAGCCACCCAGTGCTTTATGCCTTTTAATAAAATTGGTTAGTCGGAAGGGGACTACTGGTCCCCTCATGACTTTTGACTATCATAAATTAGCACAGTTCTCATATGCTCTAATAATAGAGATGACATAAACTAGTTACCAATGGTATCAGTGCATGATATTTAAGTTAGCAAAAAATGGATTTCACCTTTATTTAGAAAATATTTCAAGAAGATCTGGAACAAGGGTGTCAAACTCGCCGTGACACGTGACGTGTCACGACATATCTCGACTTTTTTCCCCTTGCTGGAGCTGGGGTGGGTGCAGCTTCCGTGTGACGCATCCGGCCCACGGGCCGACAGTTTGACACCCCTGATCTAGAAGATGAAGTAGCATGCTATAAGGGCAGGATGTAACTCAAAATTATGATACTTATTTTATAGAACGAGTAATGATTACACTCTGCACTTCTGTGAACCAGCAATATTTGTTTTCCTCGTCTTTCCAAATTCCAAATTTCCAAATTCCCACAATGGCATGAATTTATCTGAAGCACTGCTGTTTATTTAAAAAAAATGATCTGTTTTCAAAGTCATATTATAAATACAGGTACAAACTGTTAATGCCAAATAGATAAGAGATGCAGGCTTTGTCACTGTCTGTAATTTTTTGTATCTAATTAGTAATATATGTCTGCACAAAATATTGTACTGTGTTAGAAGTAGTCTAGGTTTTTGTATGATTCTTCCTAGCAGAGAGAACTAATAATTGTCTCGTCTTCTTTTATAAGAACCCCTTTAACAACATCTTTGTACCACTGCCTCTTTTTTTCTTAGAGCCAACTTTGGTTACAGGAGCCACAGTATTCAAAAGAAAGGGGAAGGAGAGATTTTCCCCCTAAAATAATTGCTTTCAGATGGGGAGAACATCTGCAGTCTCAGAATAGAGGCAGGTGCTACCTAAAGCAAGGGTTCCAATCTTTGTAACTTTAAGACTTGTGGACCTAAAGCTGGCTGGGGAATTCTGGGAGTTGAAGTCCACAAGTCTTAAAGCTGCTAAGGTTAGAGACTCCTGATCTAAAAAGAAAAGTCATTTCTGCCTTGCTGAGAATCAGGATTCTAGAAAGTTTGAGCTGTTGTGAGCCTTGTCCATTCTAGACTGCATTTTTCTAGAATCCTTCCTCTTGGGCCTCCCCAAAAATGGCAGTGGTTTTTCCTTCTGTGTCTCACTGCAATCGATCATATTCCACAAGCTTCATTTCCTTCCAACTCCAAATTATTTTTTTATTTCATCTTACAGTTTGCCCTTGACTTATGACCACAATTGACCCAAAAGTTCTGTTGCTAGGCAAGACAGTTCTTAAGTGAACTTAGCCCCATTTTACGACTTTCCTGCCACCGTTGTTAAGTGAGTCACTGCAGTTAAGTTAGTAATATGGTTGTTCAGTGAATTTGGTTTCCCCATTTGACTTTGCTTGTCATAATATCGCAAAAAGTGATCACGTGACCCCAAGACACACTGCAACCGTCACAAACATGAGCCAGTCACCAAGTGTCCAAATTTTGTTCATGTGACCACGGGGATGCTGCAATAGTAGTAAGTGTGAAAAACGGTCGTAAGTCACTTTTTTCAATGCCATTGTAACATTACATGGTCACTAAACGAATGATTGTAAGTCGAGGACTACCTGTATTTCTGTTCAATATTGTTCTCCCTTTTCACATTCTTCTCTCAATATTCTAGCTCTTTTCCCTTATTCCAGTGATGGCGAACTTTTTAGAGACTGACTGCCCAAACTGCAACCCAAAACCCACTTATGCATCATAGGGTGCCGGGTGGGCATGGCCCATTGGGTGGGCGTGGCTGCAGTGGGAGATTGGGTGGGACTAAAAAGTTCAATCAATCAATTCCAACTTTGCAAGATCTTTTTTTCTCCTGTGAGAAGTTGAAATTGACTGATTGATTGAACCTTTTTTTTGCATACGGCGGTGGAGGTCTAAAGTGAAAAGGTTTTATAAAACGCAGCTGAAGGCCTAGGACTGGGGCGATAGCGCGCATGCCCACAGAGAGGGCTCTAAGTGCCGCCTCTGGCACCCATGCCATAGGTTCGCCACCACTGCCTTATTCTGTCTTCATCCAGCAATCTATTCGGTTGCAGTTTGTGCTGAAAGGAGAGAGAATAATATTTGTGTTTTTGTATGAAAGAGAGGATTGTGTGCTTGAGAGTGGTTGGTGTCTGGATGTCTTCATGGAATATCAATCTTTATGAAAAGAATGCCTTCTTTTACAAGCAATTGATTTTAATCACTGTTACTTAATTCAGTCTCTGTGTTTATGTGGCCTCTGGCCTAATTGAAGAAATTGTTTATTCTGCACAAAGATTATGATTAATAACTTACACATGATTTTTTTTACACATGAGGTTGCCCCAAAGTACTAATACACAAGGAAAAGTTTTCCAAGGAGAAGAAACCCACTTTAAAGTAATAAATAAGTGGGATTTTTGTTAACCCAGATATGGTTATTGAGTATCTCCATAGAGCTGAAAACATGGATCAGCTGCTATTGGGCCATTTCTCTTAATTTTTCATACTTTCCAAAACTACGAATGCAAACTTTACTCTTATATATAATGCCATCACTTTTAGTACAGGAGTAATATGTAAACAGTGTGTTAGTTTAAAACCAAAATAATACTTTACTGATTTGTTCAGTACTTGACTTCTGTTGTTTTTGTTTCTTACTTAATTTGATGATGAAAACCAGTAGTTTAGTAAAGATTTTATAAAGCAGTTTTTAAGAACAGGATTTAAGGAGCTGTGTAGGATTTTTTATTTTAAAATCTGAACAAGGAAAAAAATGGCTTTCTTTCCTTTGTGGTCAAATGTACCCAAAACAATTCCTTGAATACTGACAACATTATCTGTAGCTGTATTTTTCTTTTCTTTTTTTCACCCAGACCTCACAGTTAAATTAAAGGCTATAAAACAGTAGTTTCATGTGTCAAACAAGCATCCAAGATCTTTTGCAATCTGGGACTGTTTTGCAGTTACATTCCTATAATCCTGAAAATGTTTTCCTTTTTCCTAGTAAGGAAGTAGCTGCAGTGGAAACTTCTTGTTATCCATCTGCAATTGTTTAGGACATTGAACTAAATGAAAAAGGAAAACAAAATTGATGAATGGTTCTGCCACTTGTTGATGAAGAGAAAGTACATGAGATAAATTCAACTTCTCCAGATGTTTTTAGTGTCTTCCAGGAAGTGTTCTACAACTAGGACTTGGCATTCTGCTCCATTTCACTGTATTATTTGCTACAATCCCTTAATTTACTTTCCAATGTAGCCTTTTAGGGTATGCCACAGATACTTCTACAGGAAGAAACTAGAAATAATTATAATCAATATGATAAAGGAATATTGCATCTCCTTAATGTTCAATGTTATGCTTATGACAGAAGATTGACTGAAGTATTTTTTAAATCATACTATTTATTTCCACCCACTCTGGTTCTCATACTGTAGCTTCTTGATGATAAACATTCAAGTAAACAAGCTGTACTATGTGGGTTGCATTAAAAAGATGTAAAACAGCTGCCCTGTGTAATAATTTTTCACATTTTAATGAATGTGTGTTTTTTTTAAAAAAAAGTTTAAAAATAAGTCAATGTTAACCATCTGAAATTGTTTTGAGGTCACATGCCTCCCTTATAGTGGCTGAAAAAATGTGCTATTTATTAATTTATTTATATTGTGATATGTATGTTTGCATGTGAAAAATACGTTACTTCTGTTCGTTAGAAATAAAAACAAAAACAGGAAGGTTACTTTTACTAACTCAAGATGACTGTGGCTTTCAAGATTTGCAAGTAGAAATCATTTTAATGAATACTATACACCAGGAATATCTAACCTTGGCAAGTTTAAGACCTGTGGACTTCAACTCCCAGAATTTAGCTAGCCATGTCTCAAATATTGGAAGGTTTGAATTTGTGTATAGAAAAAATACTAACCAAAAGCATTTTTATTTGGCAAAATACAGTTTAGTAATGCCTTTCTTTGCCAATGTAAGGTATTTGGTTCCACAAGGCGACTCAGTAATTCCCATTTAATTCCAGGCTCTTCAAAATTGAACCTAGGGCAGGAAATTGGGACCATAAATGAGGAAAAGACTGCAATAATTGGAATGAAACAGGACCAAAAGATTTTGACTTCCCAGGATAGCACATTATCTTCAATTAATCTTACAGATGACCAGCTTGCTTCTGGGCTTTATGGTAATTCTGTTATATTATCATTTGCTCTGGTTATGTTATTTTTTTTTAATGAGTTGGTCATTTTCTAGCATAGTTCTCAAGTGAAATGGTACAAAATTTAGGTCATGTAGAAAAATTGTAATTGGTCTGTGGAGAATTATGCTTATGCTTGCGTGGTTTTAATATATTTGGTCTCTGTTCCCAAAGAAAAATTTGCTGACTATAATTTGAATATTGAAATATTGAAAAAAGGGTATATACATGGGATACTATCTTATCTAATGCATCTCAATAGCTTATGATGTGTGCTGGGAAATTAGTATGCATTTTGTTAATGAAAGCATATTTTATGTATATCTATAGCTTTTTGCACCTTTGTTTTTGATTTATTGCATCTGCCTGCTTATCTTGTATATGGTCCTATGCACAGTTTTGAACACAGATTTCAGCTGGCGTTTAATTGCCTTTTTATGATACGGTTCAGGAATTATTTTAATAATCTTGGAAGCATGTTCAAACTCTATGCTCAATTTTTAAAAACTCCATAGGGGGCTATACACCTATGAAAAAAGAATTTAGTTTATTGCCAATGACTAGAGAGTCAGTTTGGTATAACAGTTAAGACGGGTCCCCAACCCCCGGTCCATGGACCAGTACCGGGCCACAGAATGCCAGCAACCGGTCCACACAAACAAGCAAAGCCCCATCCATGAGATGCAGGCAGCACACTAAAACACGTAGCCTCCGGTCCATGGAAAAACTTCTCTCAACTGGTCCTTGGTGCCCAAAAGGTTGGAGACCTTTGAGTTAAGATACCAGATTAGAAACCAGGAGACTGTGAGTTGTAATCCAACCTGAGGCACAAATCATCTGGGTAACTTTAGACCAGTCACTCACTCTCATCCCATCGGCCACAGAGTGTCAATTGACAGGAACTAGAAGACAGGGTTTTTGTTCTGTTGTAGCCCCTGCCTTACATAATATTTTCCCCTGGGACATTACAATGGCCTCAGCCCTGATTTGAACACTCTCCTCCCCCTAAGAAAATGCTGCTAAAATTTCAAGGCCATTGTAAAGATATTAAATGAACATGTGAATGGGGAAGAGGTTGGTGCCATCAAATTTCCAAAAGCTTGGCCATGATGTTTTCATATGTGGATTTCTATCCCTTGCATGAATAATATATATAACAAAGCTCTAAGGTGGAAGTACAACCAAGTGGCGCAGCTGTGGTTGTGTGGGAGATCTGAACTCTCTGTCCATAAGTTTATTGCATTTTTAAAATTTGTCATTGGCCAGAATAGCTTAACTTCAGATATTTGACAGTATTGATATTAGTCATTGTTAACATAATTGCTGTACTTTTTTCGGTAGTGTGTGCAAATGATGGCATTTTGAAGTCCATCATGAAGAAAAAAGATGGGAAAAAAGATGAGAATACAAAGAAGAATTTGCAATTTGTGGGTATAAATGGAGGGTAAGAGCTTACAGTTCTAAAATTAAATTTTGTTCTCTCTTCCATGTCTATGGAAGTAAAATTATAGTCATAAACTGATATTTGATCATAAACTATATCATAAATCATTTGCTCCAAGGCACATCATTTCAGTGAAATCCAAATTTTGTATAATAGTATCTTTTCAGTCTTATTTTCTCTGCACAGGAGATGTTGAGATGGTCTTTTATATCTTTATCTAAACCAGTGTTTCTCAACCTTGACAATGTTAAGGCATGTGGACTTCAACTCCCAGAATTCCACAACCAGCAATGCTGGCTGTGGAATTCTGGGAGTTGAAGTCCACATGCCTTAACATTGTCAAGGTTGAGAAACACTGATCTAAACCTAGTAGTTCCATAGTAGTAGTAGATCTAGTTTTCCTGATCTTCAGCAACAATATTTGGGAAGTGAAATGTTTTAATCATAGCTTGTTTTAAGTTAAGGTTTTGGAGAATTTCTTAAAATGAGACCATACTTCACTTTATCCTCCACTTCAACATCTCTCAACAGAGAAGCTGTAATTTTAAAAATAAAATGGGTTTTCTCAAACATATATTCTCTTCCAATATATAGAAGCAACCGAGAGATAGAGATTATAATTTCTCTGAGAGCTTTTTACATAGCCAGGAAAGAAATTTTGCCTGATTACTTAATATTTCACACAAATCAGGTTTCTCATGACTCATTTGATGAAGGATTGCACTGCCATAACTACTGTGTTCTATCAACCAGCTTTGTTAACATCATTTTGGTGCTTTGCCTGTTGAGGAATGAACTTTTAAAACACTGTGGGAAAAGTGCCACAGATTTCCAGGTACTTTTCCAATTAAAATATGAACAAACTAGAGTTGGAAACCTAGTGTAGCCTTCCTGTAGATATCCGTGAAAGAGAAATATTTAGATGCTATTACAAAAACAAAAGGGTCAGAGGCATACCTCAAATTCTGGGGAAAGGAGGTAGTTTTAGGAAGAAACTTATATTAAATCCTCCCTAACTCATTGAAGTAGAAAAGAGACAAGAAGAAAAAGACAGTCCACTTGCAAGGTTCTATTAATATAGCCTATCAATGTATCAGTAAAGCCCACTTCTAGTCTCTTTTTTTGGAGTCTGTTTCTTGATCTGGACCAGTGGTTCTCAACCTTTCTAATGCCGCGACCCCATAATACAGTTCCCCATGTTGTGATGACCCCCAACCACTTATACATCACCAAGTGCCAGGGGCGTGGCCAAAGAAAAGGGGGAAAAAATGGCGGACAGCCTTGTTTGGTGACCCCCGTGAAATGGTCGTTCGACCCCAAATGGGGTCCCGACCCACAGGTTGAGAACCACTGATCTGGACAATCTCAAAGCGCTGACGCTTCCCAAGGCTAGTATAATCTGTAAGGCACTAAACTGGAGAAAGCCAGGGTGTAGAAAACTAGTTGCTTTAATTCTGAATATGTATTTAATAGTACATTAATAAAAGCCATTTTATCTCCTAGGTATGAAACCACATCAAGCGATGATTCTAGTTCGGAAGAAAGTTCCTCCTCGGAGTCTGATGATGAATGTGTTGGGAATGATTATGTTCAGATTGAAAATTCCAGCTTAATTGAAAGGGAACAAAAGCATAGATTAAACTTAAAAGATGTTCAGTCTGTTCAAGCAGAAGAAATAATGCATGTTCAGGAGCCTGAACCTGAGGAAGTAGAAATCCGTGAGAGGTATGATGTCTTTTCTGCATCATGCAGAAATTAGTACATGTTTTGATTATCTAAAATTTGTCGTAATAGTTCTCAATAGGCCAGTATTTTTAACTTTTTTTTTTCTTTTTGGCTAAGCAACTTAAAGCCTGCATTCACAAAACAAAAGTTTAAGCTTCCAAATTGCTTCATGTTTACTAGACAGAAAAACAGATACTGAAATGTCTTTGTAAATACAAAATTCAATAAGTTGAGAACTACCAGCAGTCCTTTAACCTCGCTCATAATGCACATAGAAGCCACTGCATTAACAGGAATATGGAGTATTTGGGAGCAATGAAAGCTCCAATTTTTTTTGAGATTGTTATTCTTGACTACTTTTCTTAAACTGGGAAATAATCTGTATTGTGGTAGAGTCAATATATCAGGCCAATGTTGACGTTTGGTACATGCATTCACTAACTTATATAATCAGCATAACTTGGACTTGCCCAGCCATCCCATCAAAAAGATCAACTGTTCAGATTGTACTTTAGTTTATTGGCCTGGATCAGTCCATTAATGCAGCCTGGTGCTAGTTCAGAACTTAAATTCCCACCTGTGGATTTGATGAAAAGGAGAAATAATTTAATACAACTTGATACCTATTGACTTTAAATGTATGAATGATTTCGCTCAGTAGCGTTGTGATGTTAAATAGAGTGTAGGATGAAATGGAAGGATGGGAATCCTGAAATGTAAATACCATGAGGCAGAGCCAAAATTCCTAGGAAGCCATCCAAGTAATGCCAGAGTGGCTGTAAAGGTGTTGCACCCAGAGTTTATATAACCATAGGGCTGGAAAAAATATTTAATTCATCCGGTGTTGTTGGAAATATGATCTTCAAAAGATGAACATCTCCTGTCTAATTCGTGCCAGATTTATGTAATTACAGCTTGAATGTCCTGAGGTAAACCTTGCCAGAAGTAAGTTTACATTATGATAAATACCTTTTGTAATATATAGTATTGTATCATAAAAAGCCTGAATACCATGTATCTTCATAAAAGTTACACACTTATCTTCTGCAGAATTTTGTATTGGTTAAAAAAATCAATGAGTAATATAATGTTGATTAAAAATAAAGAAGAGTTTGTGTGAAATTGCTTTATATTGTTTGAAAGTTTGGGGTAGATACTTTAGTATCACTAGTTAGTGCCTAGAAGGTGGACTGTCTCCTCATCTGCTTCTCAATAAGATGCATGTTGTATTCTTGACATAAAATCCATAAAATTTCACTGTTTCTTTAAAGAGAAACTCCCATAAGCTTCTGTAGCCAAAGTAGGTTACACATTTTAGGAACTGGTAAAGAGTTTGCTTGGGTATAATTCCTCTAAATTAGGGGTCCCTAACCCCAGGCGGCGGACCAGTACCTACCTGTCTGTGATTTGCTAGGAATTGGGCTGCATTAGTGAGTGAAGCTTCACCTATGCATGTGTGCTGGATCTAGCTAGTGTGCTGCTCTAAATTTAAAAAAAATCTAAACATGCCTCTTGCCATCTTTTTTCAGATATGAACTGAGTGAAAAGATGCTGTCAGGATGTCATTTTCTGAAAAACAGCATTGATGATCCAAAAGCCATGAGCAGTAAAGAAATAGTAAGTCTGAATATTTTCTGTACTCTCATTAATCAAAAGGAAGAAGTTGTTGCGACTTATCAAAAGTGTCAGTGAGAAAGCAGTATAAAAATCAATCAATCTCTATGTTACAAGTTTTTATATTTCTGTAGGTCTCATATAATTCATGACCAGGAGAGGAGAGAAGGCACATGTTCCTGGAGGTGGCAAATACATTGTTTTATTCAAACTTGTTTGTGCAAGAAAACTAACTGCTCCACAAATCCTGAAACATAATGGATTAATGTATGGCATATTTCAGTGCTAAGATAAGCAGACAGGCTGAAATAAAGTTATTTAATCCCTTCAATTAGTGTAGTGTGGGCTTGTTTCTGCACTGCTTATTTTAGACTTCAGTCCACTTGCCTTCCTCAAATTTGCTACGCTGGTAGGTGGTACAGCCAAAATATATACTAAAAATGCATTGCACAGACTTGGCTAAAATCTCATTGCATTTAAAAGCAGCAGCATAATCCACTTAGTCATGCTCTTGATCTGGATGTTCCTAACAAGTGTAGAAAAATAACTTGGGGTAGGAAGTGAATGTTCCACTTGACTATGATGTGGAATGTGCTTCCTGTGTTGCCAAAAATAGAAATGCATAGTCTTTTCATCCCTTCATTTTTGAAAGTATTTGTGGTATGCAAACAATTTGAATGGAGCTATTTAATGAACTCTGTATCTTCAAATAATTTGAAATTAGCCATTTTCCTTCAACTGGTTATATACCTTAAATGAGAAACTGTTGTATATACAGAAATACTGTTGAATTTTCACTGCCCTTATAAAACAGGTCTTAACAGAGTTAGGAGCTGTGGTGGCACAATGGTTAGAATGCAGTATTTCAGGCTAACTCTGCCCACAACCTGGAGTGCAATCCTGATGGGCTCAAGGTTGACTCAGCCTTCCATCCTTTTGAGGTTTGGTAAAATGAGCATCTAGATTGTTGGGGGAAATACACTGACATTTATAAACTACTCAGCAAGGGCTGTAAAGCTGTATATAAATGTAAGTGTTATCGCTAAGTCCAATATGCCTGCCTTAAAATGGTGTTTCAAAGCCATCTGCCAGGTCAAAACAGATGTGTTTAATAGTTTGCCTTTGAGTATGAAGGAAATGGGAATCAATTCCTTTCTCCCAAGTTATAAAATAAACTTGGTTCAGCTTAATATTACAGACAACAATCAGACCATGATATATATCTAGATACCAAAATCCAAAACAAATTATGCTATACAGGTAGTCCTCTACTTATAACCATTTGTTTAGTGACCATTCGCTAAACAACAGCACTGGAAAAAATTGATTGATGACCACTTTTCATATGTACGATTATTGTTGCATCCCCATGGTCACGTGATCAAAATTAGGACACTTGGCAACTGGCTTATATTTATGAAAGTTGACCTTCTGACAAGCAAAGTCAGTAGGGAAGCCAGATTCACTTAACAACTGTGGCAAGAAAGGTCATAAAATGGGGCAAAACTTACTTAGCAACAGAAATTTTGGGCTCAGTTGTGGTGGTAAGTCGAGAACTACCTGTACAAAGAACGCCATGGGCAATCTAAGCATTTAATGTATCTTAGAAATAATTTTATGGGTAAGCTGTTAGAGAAGAGAAGATCTGACTCCCACATGGTGATTTTTTCCTTGTATGTTCCAAGCAATATAATCATTGCAAAAACAATCTTTGCCATGTTGTCTGGGAGTTGTAGAAATGAAATTCCAATACGGTTTGAGATGCCTGATCCAGCCTTTAAAGAAAATATTTACATGATTATGCATGTAATAGAATATGATGCTTTATTGATTAGTCAAGAGGCCATATCAAAACCAGCATTCCCCCCCCCCCGTATTTAAAAACAAACTATTCTAAGCCCAGGTGCCCAATTTTCTCCCTACGGACAAGACACAGCCATGGTGAATGGTGCCATCCAATGCTTTGTTCGTGTTCCATTGGTGCCTTTTGATTGCTGACCACAGCTACGGTTTTGTAAGAATTAATTCAAATTTCAAATGTAGAAAATGGGCAAAAAAGGGGATGCCTATTCTTAACTTCCATAGATTTTTGTATAATGAAGTCCTTTTTAATAGTTGTACTTGTTATAATTTCTGGTGTTTGTTTAAAAATATCTCACCGCAAATCTATACAAAAGTAACAGTCAGTACTGACTGATTGCTTGATTATGTGCCAAGTTGGCGTTGACTTTGTGACAATAGTTAAATTTTCTCCAGGAGATTCTATCCCCCAAACACTAAATATAATGAACAGAAAATAGAAAGACATATTCTAAGAAAATGCTATGTCTTCAAATGCAATATATAGACCTTAAATTGGTGCACTAGTATCATGTATTCTATTATAGTTTCTATTGTATTTTCTCTCATTCTTATCAAATTGCTCAATTTAATCCTTCCTGACATCTTCCAAATCCTATTTTTTTCCAATTATATGACATTATAATAAAAGATGCCATTGTAAGTGCATAAAGTAGTTCTGTACAACTAGGAACCGCATACATGGATCTGATTGGGGTAAATTATAGGGGTGAAACAGAAATAAATTGTATATTCTTTTAGCTTTATCTTTTACTGTTATGTATGGTCTTATTATCTTGTAATTAGTGTTTTCATCTATTTTATTTTCCCTGTGAGGGTGAAATAACTTCTAAATAGAGCTTTGCTTTGAAGCTTTTTGTATTTGATTTTGGCAGAGATTTTGTTTAAACACCATCCAGCATGAGTGGTTTCGTATATCAAGCCAAAAATCAGCTATTGCTGCCATGGTTGGAGACTACATAGCTGCTTTTGAAGAGATTTCTCCTGCAGTCCTTAGACAAATCATCAACATGGCAGATGGAAATGGCAACACGGCTCTTCATTACAGCGTCTCCCACTCTAACTTTGAAATTGTGAAACTGCTTTTAGATGCAAGTAAGTTGGCTAGTCGTCAGTTTTGGGTGGTTCCTTGTATACATTGCATCCAGAACCAGCAGAATATTATTCTCAGTTGGACTCTGAATATGGGAGGTTTTAATAATAATTAATTTGTCATATATTCAAATGAATTAAATTGATTTTGCATTTGAGCTATTGTCCCTTTGGAAATTACTTTTTTAGTTGCTAAGAATTCTGTTCCTAGCTACATTACTTCTTTAGTGGTGATAAGGCCCTCCCAAAAAAACCACGGTTGTTTGACACCTCTAAGCCCTTGAGTTAAAAACACACAAATATATCATTTCTGGAAGCCTTAGAATTGTGGAAAGCATTGCTAAAATATTTATATAAGGGAATACAATAAAGTGCAGTTATTTTTTTTTTAATTTAAAGTTACGTAATGTTGATTTGTTTATGAGATCTTCCCGACTTAAGATTTCCCTGGGTACCTGAAATTCTGGCCAGAAACTGGTACTTGTGGCGGTTCATAGAATTTTAGAATAATTGTCTTTACGTTTACTGTCTGTAGCCATTGCATAAACTGTGGCTTTGTGCCCTCTTTCCAGCCCTCCTATCACGCAAACTATAAAGAGAGAGTTGTTCTCTCTACTTGGCTGAAGCACCATTCCTGTCTCTCTTTTCTCCTTTGCAAATTCTTCTGAATCATCTTCATTATGTAAGCAGTTGCTGCCCGTGGAAAAGACTGTTCCGATAATAGTTGATTCAGTTCTTTTGCACAATTGTGTCTTCTGGGCTTTCAACTTTCTCAAGAGATTCTCTCATCAATCTTTTTGCAGATGTCTGTAATGTAAACCACCAAAACAAGGCTGGCTATACTCCTATTATGCTGGCTGCCCTTGCAGCTGTGGAGGCAGAAAAAGACATGAAAATAGTGGGAGACCTCTTTGCCTGTGGAGACGTGAATGCAAAAGCTAGCCAGGTTGGTCTGCGGCAATCAATCTCAGTCATCCAGAGGCTGGAGGATGCTCCCAGAAAAACACAAGCGCCTTCCCTAATTTGCCATCGCTGGTCTTCCTGAGGGGTGGGGGAGAGAGTTTGAGGGGCTTGTGGGAGCCGGGGTGATACCTGCTTTAGGAAGGCTTCAAGAGAAACAGAATAATCTTGCTTATTAATATAATAATCACATTTTATATTTTAAAAAAAAGATTTGGAATAATTTCCCAAATTATGTATTTGGTTGCCTGACCTTAAAAAAAAAAAACACCATATATTTCAACGATAGCTTTGTGGGGTTGGGGGGGGGGAACCTTTGGCTTTACTTGCAATTTCTCTTTACTGTCTTCAGAGAAGACACATAACAACTAAAATTAGTGAAACTGTAGCTATGCAAATCCACCCACTGCTTAATAAGGTGTGCTTCACACGTTTGTATGTATATTCCTGGAGATGACCAAAACATTTCTCAAGGGCAAAACCAAGTAACATCATTTAGACCAGTGGTTCTCAACCTTTTTAATGCCACGACCCCCAACTGGTCATAAGTTGAGGACTACTCAACCGGTCGTAAGTCGAGGACTACTCAACTGGTGCAGCACCATTTGCAGAATGGGACTTTTGGCAGGCTCAGCAGGGCAGAGACAGCCTGGACAATTCCTAGTGGCTTTTGAAAGCCAATAGAATTAGACTCTATTCAAGAGAGTCTATTCTATTGGCTTTCAAAAGCCAATAGAATAAAAGGGAGTAGCACAGCTAAGGAAAAGGGGGAAAAAAATGGCGGACTGCGTTGTTTGGCGACCCCCGTGAAATGGTCGTTCGACCCCAAACGGGGTCCCGACCCACAGGTTGAGAACCACTGTTTTAGACAATGTCCTCACAACGTGTCCTGCTCAGACATCCTTTTTTTCCCCCACTGGAAGCCTAATACTGCACAAACCATAGTACAATTTGAAATCTAAAGTACAAGATCCGGATTGGTGTCTATTGGTTAATATTATCTAGAAAACGTCTATCGTCACTTTGAGTTTTTCTTTAAAAGTACGTTTACAAAGAAACCAAATGAATGTCATCCATGAACATGATTAATATAAACTCTTTAAAATGCTGGGGAATGAATTACCTTGTATGAAGCCTTAGAGCAGTGTTTCCCAAACTTGACAATTTTAAGGCATGAGGACTTCAACTCCCAGAATTCCACAGCCAGCGTTGCTGGCTGTGGAATTCTGGAAGTTGAAGTCCTCATGCCTTAAAATTGTCAAGTTTGGGAAACACTGCCTTAGAGGGAGAAAATGGATGCCTGTCCAGAACTAAGTAGAGTTTGTATGATATTACATGTATTCTCTGCAAGTGTGTGTGACAGATCCACATTTAAGAATATGATGATCCTTTAATTGGGTGTACAAAAATATAGGTGCTGGTGTTCTCTGTTCAGTAGAATTCTCTGCTGTGAACCTCTGTTCCCAAAATGAGAGGGGCTCAACCTTTTGTTTTGCTTTCCTGGCATGCAGGCTGGTCAGACTGCTCTGATGCTTGCTGTGAGCCACGGGCGAATAGATATGGTGAAAGCTCTGTTGGCTTGTGGTGCAGATGTCAACATCCAAGATGATGAGGGTTCCACCGCTTTGATGTGCGCAAGTGAACATGGGCATGTGGAGATAGTCAAACTTTTGCTAGCTCAGCCTGGATGTAATGGTACCCTGGAAGACAATGTGAGTTGTTTGTTTATTATTTGCATTCCACCCTTATTTTATACAATTCAAGGCTGGGTCCAAAATGGTCCTTACCTCCTATTTTTCCCATAGCAATAAACTTTATGTGGTGAGTTGGCTTGCAAGAACAACTGCCAGTTTTCATAACAAGGGAGAACTAGATAGAACTCTGATCTTCCAGTTGCTAATCCTGCCTCTCAACCACCACATGACACTGGCTCTCAATTGCCTGTAATAGACTGCCATTATTTCATCACATTCCACTTTATCATGGCTGAAACTGTTTTAGGGATAGCCATTTGTCCAAAATGGTATAGGGTTTCCTGCCTGAGCAGGGAGTTGGACTAGATGACCTCCAATGTCCCTTCCAACTTTATTATTATTATTATTATTACTAGGGTAGAAGTAAGTATGCATCTGATGTGTTTGAAATCCAACAGTCATTAAAATATTTGAATTCTGTTTGTTTGCCAGTTACACACAAAAGCACCTAGCATTCAAATCTGAAGCAAGCAGAGATGTTTGAGTCTGGTAGAGCAGGGGTGTTAAACTGGCGGCCTGCAGGACAGATGCGCCACATGCAGGCCATCCCCACCCTGCCTCCGCAAAGGCAAAAAACTTCACGATATGTCACAATACGTCACATGACGCGATCGAGTTTGACACCCGTGTGGTACAGGCATCCTCTCTGTACTGTTTTTCTCACAGTGGTGATACATTTCCTCTGCACATATGTTTTTTGTCTGACTGGATTGATGGAATGATACTCTAGCCTAGCTCTTTCCAGCATCAACTTTTTTTTTAAATTTTGCAGAGATCTCTTTTGACCAAGGCATATAATTAATCAGAAACCCATGTTATGAAGAGGAGACTCTGACTACCATTTTTTATATGGAGCGTGCCTTCCAAATCTGTCATACCTGTCATTTTATTGATAGGAAATCTAACTCAACCTATTCCCTTAAAAAATATCCAAGGTTTCACATATTTTTTCCAAGTTTGAATATCGGCTCAGTGTGTTCAGTAACACATGCCACAGTATACCTCTTTACTGTTTTTTAATCACCATATTTTTTTAATAGATAAAGATATTCTATTAAATTTAGATGAAGCTCAGATGATGTGTTAGGTCACAATTGTTTGATGGATTAGTAGATGACAGAGAGGGAGGTTAGAGCTAAAATAAAAGTGCTGTATTAAAACAATGTCCCCCAGTGGAGGCTTTAATTATATTCAGCTCCAGTGTACCATGGCTTTTCTCTTCAAAGTACAAGTATGATCATACATGTAAATAAAAAACAGCTCTTTAGAAGCACTAGAAATTAAATACAGGTTTCATTTAATGGGAGTTATCACAGTCAGTGTTTCCATTTTTTAATTTAAGATTTTGTTTTCTAATTTTTTCTTGCTCTCACTCTCCTGAACGAGTGTTCCTTTGTCTGGAAACAATCTCAGAATTATTTGCAAGATTTTTATAGTAATAAGCCAGCACCCCGGTTGGAGAAATTTGAAACCCATGGTGACTGCTGAATTGCTTCATAAAACAAAATCACAGCATTTACCTCTTAGTTAAAATTAAGTGGGTTTTTTTTTTAAAAAAGGACCATTATTGTGGCTGATTTATATTACAGGAAATTAACCAGAATAGCTTTTAATATATCAAAGTTGGTAAGGATTTTTAAAAAAGAACATGCCGTATTTTCCGGTGTATAAGGTGACCCGGCATATAAGACGACCCCCGAGTTCGACGCCGGGTCGCAAGATGATCGATGCCGAGTCGCAAGACGATCGACGCCGAGTCGCATGCCTAGAAAGTCGTCTTATACACCGGAAACTACGTTATTTCCAGTGTATAAGACGACCCCCGAGTTCGGAGGCTGTTTCGACGCTCTCAAACGTCATCTTATACGCCGGAATATATGGTACACATTTTCTTCTATGTATGCTAGCATTGTAACTGCTTCAGTCATAACAACAGGAAACTCTGGGAGATGTTAGTCTAGTGTCAGGTTGGGAAGTGATTTATTTATTTAGTGTAGGCATCTAAAGAGGTTATGCCATCACTGATGTACAAATTTAATTTAAATAAAGTGTATGTACATGCATACATATCATAAAATACAATGTAGGAGATAATATATTAAGATAAAATCGTAATAAACTCACCATAATGAAAAGCCATAGACTTTCTGTGAGATGGATATTATAATTTAGTATCTAAAGAAGCTAACCATCTAATTGCTTCTGGTATGGCTGCTGTGAGATCATCCCAAGTACCTTGAAATTTCTTGACCTATGGGGAAGCAATGATCTAAAAAGACAGACATGTTTTATCTCATTTATTTTCTTTTTCTTAAGGATGGCAGCACAGCACTTTCAATAGCCCTTGATGCGGGGCACAAGGATATTGCTGTTCTCCTCTACGCTCACGTAAACTTTTCAAAAACTCAGTCCCCGGTGAGTGGCATAAGTTGTATTCCATATATTCTATGATTTATACAACCACTAGTATATAAGGCTGAGTGTTGAGAGGATTTCTGACTCTTAGGAGGTCCTATAGGTTAGTCTTCCACCCCCCAGGCTAGAAGCTGCTAGGTCAGGGGTGGGCAACCTTGGCTCTTTTATGACTCGTGGACTTCAGCTCCCAGAATTCCTGAGCCAGCATGGCTCAACTTGGAAACCTCTCCCTTTCCCCTCAGCGTGGCTGGCTCAGGAATTCTGGGAATTGAAGTCCACGAGTCATAAAAGAGCCAAGATTGCCTACCCCTGTGCTAGGTGATGTTCTTGATTGGTGTCTTTTTGCTGTCATGGCTATCTATGCTTGCACTGTTTCAATGTATCTGTTCTATTAGTTGGAACAGGTCAGAGGAGATACAGTTGATTTGTACGAAACTGTGATAAGCAATAATGAACTAAGACTTATAAGTCTTATATCTGGGGTGGGGATCATGTGCTCTTCAATCTGGATTACAAAAAGGAAGAGAAATCCATTCTTATCCCTTTCTATTGCTATTTTTCTTTCCACCATCTTCTATTTCTGGAACTGTATCTTTGCAAAACCAATTCCTGTAGCCACCCTTTTTTGAAAGCATGCACTATATAACTCTTTTTGCTTCAAGTGTATACTTAGCATAGCAGCACTGATCCAGCATAGTAATTCAACATACTGAATGGTTCTGTGACTTTGTGTTCTCACTTTGCTAATACTTTTTTTTTTTTTTTTTTCATTTCTTCTCAGGGAACTCCAAGGCTTGGGAGAAAGCCTTCCCCAGGTCCTACTCACAGAAGTTCATTTGATTGATAATGCACAGAGATGTGTAAAACTGCCACATCCTCTAAGCTGCTAGGGATTACTGTTTTACAGTGACAGATGTTGAATGTAATCGTCATGTGCCTGTACTCACCAGCAAATTGAAAGCCAATATTTAGAGCTAGAGTAGAGTCTGTAAGAAAGAGGTTAAGAAGCACTCTTGCTGATAAGAGAAAGTTTACACATGGTGTGGCTGTCAGCTGATACTTCAGATCAATCCTCACCACTCGGATTGGTCAAACTCATCCATACTGCAGAAACTTTTAGGTTTTCAATAAGGTGAAAGAATCTGGTATAATTACAGTTTGCCGGATGGATGACTTGCTGTATGGGAACAGCTGTCATAAAAGAATGGTTCTCTGCTGCACCATAGGTCACATCAACCTTAAAGTCCCCTTTTGTTCCTATTTTCAGCTTCCAGAAAATAGCTTATCTTTGCTGCCGAATATATTTTGCTATTACCTGCATACAGTTATTTAAGCTAGCTGTTTGTTTATGACTCTACTGTATTACTTTGTAAAGGTATGTTCTCTATATTTATATTTGCTACTGTTGGGATGTTGGCAAGAACCCTTTTATTATACATGTCATTCCAAAATGGTTTTGATTGTTGTTTGAATGCTTTTATATTTAAAAAGGGATAATTGTTTAAATTTGCCCTGTGGAATGTCAGCTGGTGGCTTCATGGCTTAAACAATAGAAGATAGATCATTATGGCCTGAATTGGCTAAATAAATTGTTGCTGCCGACTTGTATAGCTTTTCTATAACAGAGTCACTCAGTATTTTGGACACTTTGAATTCCAACATAACCAAAATAATACTTTACACATAATTATTATTATTATTACATTTTTATTAACTCCATGATTCCTAAGATGTTGGAAGATGCTATTCTCTAGTGAATGCAAATGTAGTTCTGGGCACCTAGAATGCTTATTTTCTTGCCTTGTTCTCTGCATCATATGCATTTTAATGTTTGAAGTGCCTTAGATTCTTGCCATATTTTCAAAATAAAAAATTCTTTAGCTTATTATATGTCATGGATGTTTTTATTGTTGGCTTGTTTTGGGGTTGGGGGGGAGCTTATGGAACTTGAAAACCAGGAAAACTTTTTTTAAACTTCTGTTTGGTTTACATTGCATCAATACTACACATTAAATTTGAGAGGTAGAAGCTACAATTTTCTATATTTTAACATAAAAATAAAAGTCTTTCATTAATATTTTCCAAAATCCAAATGAATGACATTTTAACATTCCTTTTAATTTTCATAGAACTATGTAAAACAGACAAAAATAAAACTAAAGGGGAAGTATTATAACATTGGTCCAGAGGAAATGTGTGACCCAGTATGAAATAGAAGTATTGAATCAAATTCAAAATATTAGTTGAAATAAGCAATAGCCAATTTAGCTGAGGAGCACCAGAAAATTAGTGCAGAATACTATTCCAATTATTGGACACAACACGGAAGAGAAATAGCCAGACATTTTAGATTACAATCTATAGTGTTGAAAAAAAATAATTTGATCCCCTGCTGATTTTGTATGTTTGCCCACTGACAAAGACATGATCAGTCTATAATTTTAATGGTAGGTTTATGTTAACAGTAAGAGACAGAATAACAACAAAATCCAGAAAAATGCATTTCAAAAAAGTTATAAATTGATTTGCATTTTAATGAGTGAAATAAGTATTTGATCCCCTATCAATTAGCAAGATTTCTGGCTCCCAGGTGTCTTTTATACTGGTAATGAATGGAGATTAGGAGCACTCTCTTAAAGGGAATGATGGAGCACTATCTAATCTCAGCTTGTTAACTCTATAAAAGACACCTGTCCACAGAAGCAAGTAAGTAATCAGATTCCAAATCATGGCCAAGAACAAAGAGCTGTCCAAGGATGTCAGGGACAAGATTGTAGAACTACACAAGACTGGAATGGGCTACAAGACTATCGCCAAGCAGCTTGGTGAGAAGGTGACAACAGTTGGTGTGATTATTCGCAAATGGAAGAAACAAAATAACTGTCAATCTCCCTTGGTCTGAGGCTCCATGCAAGATCTCACTTCTTGGAGTTTCAATGATCATGAGAACGTGAGGAATCAGCCCAGAACTACACGGGAGGTTCTTGGGAATGATCTCAAGATCGCTGGGACCATAGTCGCCAAGAAAACATTCGATAACACACTATGCCATAAAGGACTGGAATCCAGCAGCGTCTGCAAGGTCCCCCTGCTCAAGAAAGCATATGTGAATGATTCAGAGAACTGGGTGAAAGTGTTGTGGTCAGATGAGACCAAAATCGAGCTCCTTGGCATTAACTCAACTCGCCATGTTTGGAGGAGGATGAATGCTGCCTGTGATCCCAAGAACACCATCCCCACTGTCAAATATGGAGGTGGAAACATGCTTTGGGGATGTTTTTCTGCTAAAGGGACAGGACAACTTCACCGCATCAAAGGGACGATGGACAGGGCCATGTACCGTCAAGTTTTGGGTGAGAACCTCCTTTCCTCGGGGTATTGAAAATGGGTCGTGGATGGGTATTCCAGCATGGCAATAACCCAAAACACACGGCCAAGTCAACAAAGGAGTGGTTCAAGAAGAAGCACATTAAGGTCCTGGAGTAGCCTAGCCAGTTTTCAGACCTTAATCTCATAGAAAATCTGTGGAGGAAGATGGAAGTTCGAGTTGCCAAACCTCAGCCTCAAAACCTTATTGATTTGGAGAGGATCTGCAAAGAGGATTGGGACAAAATCCCTCATGAGATGTGTGCAAACCTGGTGGTCAATTACAAGAAACATCTGACCTCTGTGATTGCCACCAAGTACTAAGATATGTTTTGCGAAGGGGTCAAATACTTATTTCACTCATTAAAATGCAAATCAATTTATAACTTTTTTGAAATTCATTTTTCTGGATTTTGTTGTTATTCTGTCTCTCACTGTTAAAATAAATCTACAGTACCATTAAAATTATAGACTGATCATTTCTTTGTCAGTGGGCAAATGTACAAAATCAGCAGGGGATCAAATAATTTTTCCCCTTACTGTACAGTGGAACCCCTTGTCTAATCTCAAGTCTAGATGGTCTCTTTACAAGGTACCCAGGAAGACACAGCTGAAAATCTACTTTTTCCCATCCAATTTTTATTTATGCATATTAGCCTATTTTCTTCATCTACAACAGGGGTTCTCAACCTTGGCAACTTTAAGACTTGTGGACTTCAACTCCCAGAATTCTGGGAGTTGAAGTCCACAAGTCTTAGAGTTGCCAAGGTTGAGAACCCCTGATCTACAATTAAATCATAGCAAATAGCTTTTATTATGGGCTGACATAGCACACACCATCACATATCTAGGACAACTCACATGGCCAACTCATCATAGGACAACTTGCCATGGGATAGCTGCATTAATCATTTCATTCAGGTACTTTTATTATTGGTGACCATGCTTTTGCTGAAATTATTGTATTTCGCCGAAATTATTGTAATTCTTGTATTTCTGGATTGACTTTCATTATTTCATTATTATTAGCCACAGTTCTGTTGAAATTAATTTAACTTTTGTATTTGTTGAATTCTCCTGCAGCAACTTGTTCCACAGTGAGTTGGCTACATTGAATTGTCCCATTCCACATTACCACTACCAACAAGTCAAAGAGCAAGCTTGCTACAGTAAACAGGAATCATTCAGATGGGACAATAAGCAATATAAAATAATTCTGTTTCTTCCTTATTTTAGTACTGTAATCCTCAACACCAGAGGTCCCCAACCTTTTGGGCACTAGGGACCGGTTCCGTGGAGAAAGGTTTTTCCACAGACCGGAGAGTGCGTGGTTTTGTGTGCTGCCTGCATCTCACATATGGGGCTTTGGTTGTTTGTGTAGACTGGTTGCTGGCATGCCACAGCCCGGTACCAGTCCACGGAGTGGGGATTGGGAACCCCTGCTCAACACCATAACTTTTCCTAGCTAAGACATCAAAATGATTTCCTGACAGAGATGCCATTGTTTCCTATGTGATTATACAATGACAGTAACAATGCCAGTCAAATACAAGTACTGTTTTTCATTGTAACTTGGAAGCCTCAGAATTCCTAGGAAAAAAAATAATCCCAATTTAAAAACCCAATTGTTTCCTACAGTTAGTTTCTCACTGCAGTGAAACAAAAGTTTTGTTTGATGACTGCAGTGAAAACACTGAAAACTCTGGAATCAGAATAACGAACCAGAAAAAAGACATACTCAAAGATTTTTATTTCTCACCTTTCTTCCCCCCAAAATTAGAACATATATAGTATTTGGAAGGACAGATACAATTGCTTTGGCCTCACTCTGTCCTCAGTTAAAAGGTCTTCATTGTATGTGTTTTAAAATGTCCTTCTCCAGCAGGATGGCTGTAGATTCCAATGGATGGGTTCTATGACAGCCTTCCTGCCTGGCAGACTGGGTAAAAACTTTGGCCACACCCCTCCTTTGGGCGAGACCCCAGTTTTGACTCAGTCTCGAAGCCCGTAGCAGTCAAAAAAATTAGCTCCTGAGAAATTCAACTTGAAAGAGAAAAATTCTTCCCTTTTCTGCCATCTCTCTCTCACCTAGCCAGTTCTAGCAGAAAGTCATCTTATCTGCTGGCTCGGGGCTCCGAGCCATTGCCAGATCTCTGTTTCAGGAGGAGATTGCCAATCGACGGAGTGGTGAGAGTATCCCCAGGGGCTAGAGATTCTGTCCAGGGGAATCGAGCCAGTCAATACCTAGGAGAGCTCGCCGCTCTCCGGTACACCGATCAGCTGTAAAGCGCGAGGATTCCCAGCCCGTTCGGCTGACAGAGCCGCTGTGCCGCTCGCCCCAATCAGCTGAAAGGCGCAGGCCTCGAGGCCAAACAGGCCGGTCAGCCGCCTTCCTCCATCGGCGCTTAGGGGAAGTAGACAATAGGCTCAAACTTCTCCCCTCTCGCCCCAGAAACCTCTCAGCCACCCGCGGATAGCCGCGGTCCGGGGGGGGCCTGTGCCATCGCAAGGCTCACGTCTCTGGGCCTCTAGGCGGATTGCTTCAACATCAAAGAATCGCCATTTTGAGCCTCGTGGCTCCATCTTCAGTTAGCTGTTGGAAGGCGTGGCCTCCTCTCAGGCACCATTTTGACTAGTACAGTTCAATCCGCCATTTTAGGTGGATCTACCTCCGGAGTTCTTTTACTTGTATTACAAATTTGATAACTTGATAGTATTATCTATCCAATAATACAACAGCATAGTAATAGAAGGAGAAGGGAAGAAAGAGCGAACTACCTCCTCATAACTTGTGGTCTGTTTTTACAGCCACAGATCGGGGAAAATAGTTTATCAATTTACAAGTGAAGTCTTATTAGGTCTGGACATCCCTGTCCACTGACCTTGGTGAAGGAATTGAGGAGAATTTGAATTCTATCTAACTGTTTTCCTTTTGTGACCTTTAGTCACTGCCCTACAGGGTCCTGCCTTTCAGGGAACCTGTCTGTCCGGCCATTGTTTCTGTGCAGAAGAGGGCTCTTAGTCCCCAATTATCTGCAACTGATCTGCGTACCTTAATTCCCCACTCCAGGTATTGCCTACTCGGGGTACCTGGCACAATGGCAGACAATGTCTCGTATTCAGCTATGCAGGTCCCCTAATTGTCCCCCCCACAACAACAGCAAAAACGCAGATCCTCTGAATCTGAGGTGGGGGGGGAGAAGAAAGCGAAGACAAAACACCTTACCCAAAGGGGACCATCCAAAACAGCTGAGTGAGAGGCCTCGAGACATTTGGCTCTAGAAAGACAATTTGCCAGGGCCCAGAAGACTAACTCCAATGGAACAAACATGGTTTCCCCTGCCCCATTGGCGGCCCCCTCGGCAGAACCTACTTCCCAGGAAGTTCTCAGAACTTGGTCTCCTCTGGGGGAAACCGAACAGTTAAGACTCCTCTCATTCCTCTTCACCAGCATCTACACCAGACCATACTCCCACTGTAGCTAGGTCCAAGGACAGAGCTCAGGAGGACATATGGTCG